TGTACTGCACTGTAATGTTCTATGTTCTATGTTCTATGTTCTATAATCCTGTCACTGCCTGGCAATATCCATGGACTGATAGTTGTGTGCCATGGAGAGCCAGGCCCCGAACCTTCAGTGACAGCTGGAGAGTCAATGACACCTGTACTCCATCGCCACACTTAATCATCCTCAGGACCAAAGGCATGGCGATGGTAGGCGTGGTGGGCAGGGATCCTTGACCTCAGTCTAGTTGCCTGCCTTCATGAGCAAGGTAATACCAGGAGGCAGGAGAAGAACTACACACAGACCCATCAACATTTCCATTCAGGAAACTGCAGAGGTGGCCAGTTCCTCTCTCTCTCCACCCTGCCTGCCTTCTCCAACACCTGGACATTCAAGCTGAAGAGGGTAAATTTGCCTCTGGCAAGAAGACCCTTGTTATGCCTGGCTCATCCAGACACAGGATTGCCCCCCACCAAACCTCGAGGGTCAATAGGCTTCACTTCATCAGGTTCCTTCCACTGCAGTTGCAGTACTGAGGACTACACCAAGGCATAGTGAGAGGAAAAGGAAGAAAAGGGTCTAGGCCCGAAACGTCAGCCTTCCTGCTCCTATGATGCTGCTTGGCCTGCTGTGTTTATCCAGCTCTACACCTTGTTATCTCAGATTTTCCAGCATCTGCAGTTCCAACTATCTCTGTTTTCCTGAATATGTTTTTTTAAATTGGTGTTGTTCGAAGTCTGATTATGTATCATTGATCGAGATTTCTGACTGGGAAATTCATTACTTTCAAAAAGTTCTTTACCTTTTACTTGTGCTCATCAAGGAGTGGGATTTTATTGCTGAGAATGGAGAAGTTTTCATCTGAAGAACCTCGTGTCAACATTAAGACTTTCAAATGAGATGTATCTATGCAAAGTAAAACATTTCCTATTGCCAACAAGACTGTGCTTCATATTGAACAATGATATATTTATGGAGCACCTTTAATGTGTTGAAACATTTGAAGGTATTTCACAGGAGCATTATAAAACAAAGTATGACAAGAAGTCACATAAGGCAAAATTATGTCTGATGACAAATAGCTTGGTAAAGGAAGTAGGTTTTAAGCAGTGTTTCAGACGAGAAAAGGGCAATGGAGAGGCAGAGTGGTGTACCAAGTGTAATCAGAGCCTGGGGCCCAGTCAATTGAAGGTACAGCCTCCAATGCTTGGGAAATTAAAAAGAGGATAGAATTACAAAAATGCAGATATCTTGAAGATTTGGAAGAAATTACAGAGGTAGGGAGGGGAAGGCCATTTTGGTCAGTGGGAGTGGAGGAATTTGAAACTAAGAATGGGAATTTTAAAATCAAGAAGTTGCTTCACCAAAAGCCAATATGGGCCAGCAAGTACAGGGTTGATAGGGGAACAGGACTTGCTGACAGTTAAGTCAGTTATGTGTAGCTGAAGTCTATGGAACTCAAAAGAACTGTGTGGTTTGGCATTCTTCTTTCTGCAACCTAATCATTCTTAGGCCTGTCTATAAGTAAATTGCCAAGTATGCTGTAGGCTCATGTCTTAAAGGAACTAGATTGAGGCTTCTCACAATAATTTCACAAAGAACCTGTGGAAGGAGCAGTGAACAACAGATGTTGTCATTTGAACCAAGGTCCCAAAAAGTGAGAAGTCATGATCTAACCAATCTATCATCCAGTTATCCTGAAATAGTCATTCCCTAGCATACTCAACGATTATCATCATTTATTTGAAACACCTAAATCAAATCACCTCTTAATCCCTTTATTTCCATAGAATGTACCCATGTTTACCTAGTATTTTATCATAAGTCAGTTTCTTCTTCCTTTGTGCCATTCTGATGAATCAATGGACTTTCTCCAAGGTCAGTATATCCTTTCAAAAGTAGCATTCCGAAACCTGAACACAAAATTTCAACTGAGATCTGACCAGTTTTCCATATAATTGCAGTTTTATTTCTTCATTATGTAATTTAAGCCTCTTCTTGATAAACCCAGCTTTCCATTATTTGTTACTCATCATTATTTTTTCCAAAACAGGCTTATAATGATTTACATATCTACAGTCTTAGATACCTTTGCTCATCAGTTTCCCTTGGCACTTCCTATTCAGACTATACATCCAAATTTCACCCTTGCATAAACAGTGTATTACATTAAACTTTGTTATGCTAAATAGGTTTTGCCATTGTGTTTGCTTCATATTTATTATAGTTCTTTTGTGCTCATCAGAGTCTTTATAGTGTCTATCTTAGTATAATTTGAAATCCTAGATTCATGTTTCTTTCCTCTTAAATCTGTGATATAGCTTTTAGTGAAAATATTATAAACCTAAATCAAGATCAGATTGGAAGAAATATTTTTCTTGAATAATTCTCTCTATAAAAGGTATAATTTTGTTAATTTTAGAAAATTGCAAATCTTAATCAGGCTCTAATAAAGTACTGTCGTCAATTTTGAATACTGCACCTTAAGAAAATCATGGCCTTGGAGACTATACAGGATAGTTCCATAAAACTGATAATGTGATTTAAAACTTAAATTAGGAAATCAAGTTGAAAAAACTTCGTTCTGTCTTAAATTTAGAAAATGAAGACATGATCAAATCAAATTTTAAAACTTTATAAAGAGATGGTTAGAGTAAATATTGATAAACTATTTTTCCTGTTTGGAGAACACAGAATAAAATGACATAACGATAAAATTAGAGCTCGGTTAGTTAGGACTGATATCAGAAAACATTACACAAATGACTATAGAAAACTATCTTCCAAAAAGCTATGGATAATTGGCCATTTGAAGTTTTCTAGTCTGAATTTCTAGATATTGTTATAAAATAGTATCACTGGCCAAGGATCAAAGGCAAATAATTGAAGCTGAGACACTGATCAGTCATGATCTAATTGGATGACAGGATAGGTTCTGTGGTCTGAATTATCAACTCTTGTTCCTGGTTCCCTTCTTTTACCTTTTTTCTTATATTAAGAACACAGTCAATTTCAATTGGTGTTACAAAAGTGAATTACTGCAGATGATGGACATCTAAAATTGCTGAATTACTGAAACTGCTGGACATACCTACCAGGACTGGCAGATTCTGTTGAGAAAGAAATACAGTCAGTATTTCAGGTCGATAATCTTTCATCATAACTAGTGTTACTTCCACTGTGACATTCAACTAACCATGCTCAATTTGACTGCACTTCTTATGGCAAGAAATGAG